AAACCACTTAATAAGTCCCTTGTCAATCTTTTCATGTGCAGATAATTTTAACTTCCTACATCTAACATTTGTTTTGTCATACGCTGATAAAATGTTTTCTCTGTTTTTCGATATTGTTGCAGCAGTAGACTTTCCAAGTGCTAATTCCTTACAAATGTCTCTGCTTTACTCCACTTTTTATTTTGTTAATAATCTCGTACTTTTCATTTAGTGAAAAACTTTGCGTTTTTGTTTTTCCATTTTAAAACGATTAACATACATAACGCGGCAAAAAACAACAAGTCACTGCTTGTTTATCGCTCTCACTAATATAAACAACGCCGTACGATTCGTGTTGCTGAGCGTGGAAGATCGTTATAAACGGAAAGTGAATATACAACCTAAAAAGTGATCGTTATATCTAGAAGTTCGTTATAACCAGTAAAAAATACGTTGGTCTTTATGGACGACGTTTCAATTAAAGAAAAAAAGTTTGTTTTAACCGAAAGTTCACTATAACGGTTCATTATAAGCGGACTTTACTGTATCAAAAATTTATAGTTTGACAAAAAAACCGTAATTTTTCTCCAATTATTTCTCCCGAAGTATTCCAATAGGCTACCAATCAAACGTGGTACCTTTTCAAAATAATGCTTAATAACAAAGTTGAAATTCGATCTTCAACTGTTAAAATCTTCTTGAAATTTTTGAGAAAAAAATTTCAAAATTTGGCCCCTATATACCCTTAATAGGAATGACGCCAATTTTGAATCACCCTGTATAGTATTCGACTAATTCGAAACATTATGGTCGTTTTACCGGCTCAATCTCGAGCTGGAACATTTACACAGGTTTATCCAAAAAACCGCGGTAATTAGCAAATTGTAGTCGTAACTCAGGCGAACCCTCCTCCTTTGCCCTGTTCCACTTTTCTTAATATCTAGCGGACATTAAATATTTAAGGAACAAAATAAATTGATTTCTCATCCTTATTTGGGGCTGCACGTCAAGGTGAAACAGATCTGGGGGCTTTTAAAGTAATTATTATTATGTGAGTGCTTGCGGGGCTGGCAACGCCAAACTTTTGATTGGTTTTAAAATAAACATGAGCTCGTGCTGCTTTCTTAGTACGAGGACATATTGTGTTCCAAAAAACAGGAATTTCAGGTTGGCCGAACAACCTCAAACTATCAGCCATACCTGCAAAGTGCTTCTAGAGGGCTCATGTTAGTCTACACAAAGGGCAGCCCACAGTAAAAGCATAAGTAATGGACTTTGTAATGAATAAGTTAGGGTTGCGGCCCGAGGCGCCACTGACCACTTTTCGTGCCTGTTGCATTTTCCTTCCTTCTTCAAACTGGTAATGAAATCTCCCGTTTAATAAATAAACAGGCTCGTTGCCGAACCGAGAGCTAAACGATGTTGAAATATGCCAGATAATGTATTAGGAACGGCGGTTATTAGAATGCCGAGTGCCTAACTGGCAAAAGAAAATCGCCAAGTTCGAGAGCTTTTCAGACTTCACGCGAAAACGGCATTCTAAGAATTGTTTAAATCGTTTTTCCAGCCCATGGGAGGAAAACGCACTCCAAAAATATTTCGAGCGACGACGCCACATAGTGCTGTAAAATGCACAATAAATCGCGTTTAAAATGGGTGATTTTTCTGATTAACTCACTCGCAAACCTACTGAGGAATCCAGTTTTGACTTGTAGCGTTCATGCGCTTCTTAATACAATTTGAAAAGTTCCCTAAACTTCAAACGTACTCTTTTGGGGCTACTGTATTTGACGGTCACCGAACGCTCATCCATGTTCTCGCTCGCTCGCATAAAGCTCAGACGCTCAAGAGTGAGTAAGTATAGGTTGCGCGTGTCACTCCATGTTGCCGCTATGCACATGCTTGGTTTTTAACCGCCGGGCCTTGGTCGAATGGCGACGTGAAGCCTCAGAGAAAGTCGTGTGGCGACCTCTATTCGCGACTTCTCAAGTAGCAGCTCCAACCGAAATGCCAGCTATATCTCACCACACTAGATCTGCGCCGTTTCGCTTCAAATAACACTTCCAATACCACATGCAGGGTGCGGAGTCTGAAGTAGAGCCCATCTAAGCCTTGCTGACGAGTGTCCTGGGTATGCCCAGGTTGAAAGCCAATTTTTTTTTGTTAATTGTTTTTGGTTAATGTTTGTTTTTGTTTAAGATGCAATCTTATAAGATTGCATCCTCCTATAGGAGAAGAAATTTTACGCTGCATATTTTTCTATAATTCTCTATAATTTGCCCTTCGGTCAACATTTCTCTTGTAAGAATGCCATTATCAATGCTCACATATTCGAAGAAATTGAAATCACTCAATTAGGTTTTAACTTGTTCTTCGACAACATTGGGACATCTTCGTCTGTGTCATACTCGTAGTCAGAGTCTTTATGCTTTTCTAACCATTCGTTAAGTGGAATT